CAAAAGATTCTGAATTTGTTCCTAGGCGTGGCAGCTTTGCCCCTGGTGGGGCCTCCCGGGGCCACCCCATCCCACGGGGCAGAATGCAAGGCGGGTTTGGAGGCCAGAGTGGGGGTAGCAGACCCAGCGACGCCCGCTTCACTCGCCGCTACTAAGTTCTTTGAATCCTGTGTCCTGTCATGTGGCAACAAGACTATGTTCTGTTAGGAGTTATCTTAAACTGTGTAAAAATATTTTTTTTATCTGCTGCCCTATTATAGCTCAACACAATGTGAATTTGTTTTTGTTTTTTTTTGTAATAAATGTGTTTCTGTTCATATACCCTTTATTTAAAGTGTCATCCCTTGTTATTTCTGGCTGTTTCAGTGAAATGAAATTATACTTAGCTTTGTGGGGGGGCAGTCTGCCTCGGGTGTAGTCTGGGGCTGCACTCCACTTCCGTGGCCAGGTCTCTTGCAGTCTCACTGAAAGGCAGGATGTGCACAAAGTCTTCTCCCTGGTGAATCCTGCATTCTTCCGGAAACAAGGGTTCAGGTTGGGAGGGGGACCACAAAGGAGGCAGTGGAGCAGCCATGGTGGCAGCCTGGGCACAGGAGATGCTTGTCCACCAGAAGGGGCTGTGGGGCAGCGTCTAGTGGTGTTAGCCGGTGGCTGAATACAGCTGTCACACCAAGTGTGACTTCTGGCAGACACAAGGAACTGACATGCGTCAGAATATAGGGGGCTATAGGAATTTCCTAGGGCTGCTGTAACCAACTGCCTCAAACTTAATGGCTTAAAACAACATAAATTTTTTTTTTCTAATATGGAGCACTTCACGAATTTGCATGTCATCCTTGTGCAGGGGCCATGCTAATCTTATCTGTATCATTCCAATTTTAATATATGTGCTGCCGAAGCGAGCACACATAAATTTATTGTCTTACATTTCTGGAGGCCAGAAGTCCACATTGTTCACTGGGCCAAAGGCAAGCTGTCTCTAGGACTGCATTCCTTCCGGAGCCTTCAGGGGAGAATTTGTGTCCTTGCCTTTTTTTTTTGTTAATAGAGTATTATTTTTATATAATGCATACTATTTTTATATGAAATTTACCCTTTTAACCATTTTTAGGTGTACAATTGAGTGGTGTTATGTACATTCACAGTGTTGTATAACCATCAGCCACTGTTCATCTCCAGAATTTTAAACCCTCCCAAACACAAACTGTACCCATGAATTAAGAACTGACTCCCCAGCCCCTGGCACCCACCATTCTACTTTGTGTCTCTGTGGATCTGATGACTCTAGGGACCTCTTGTGAGTGGAATCACACGGGATTTGTCCTTCTGTGTCTGCCTTATTTCACTGAGCACGATGTCCTCAAGGGTCATCCACCGTCTATCCTGTGTCAGTGCTGCATTCCTTCTATGGCTGAATGCTACTGTGTGGATACGCCACACTTTCCTCATCCCTTCCTCGGTCAGTGGACAGTCAGGTTGCTTCCACCTGTTAATTGTGGTTAATAGTGCTGCAGACATCGGTGGCGGTGTCTTGAGTCCCTTCTCCTCTGGGTACGTAAGTGGGAGCATATAGTAATTCTATGTTTAGCGTTCTGAGGAATGGCTGTATTTTCCACAGCAGCTGCACCGTTTTACATTCCCACCAGCAACGCACAATGGGTCCAACTTCATATCCTCGCCAACACTTACTTTCCATCTTTTTTATAAAAGCCATCTTAATGAGTGTGAAGTGACAATATCACATTGTGGTTTTCATTTGCATTTCCCTAATGTTTAGTGATGTTGAGCATCTTTTCATGTGCTTATTGTTCTTGTCATTTATTTTTTTAGAGATGGGGTCTCTCTCTGTTCCCCAGGCTGGAGTGCAGTGGTGTGATCACAGCTCACTGCAGCCTCCAATTCTCGGACTCAAATGATCCTCCCACCTCGGCCTCTCATATCTTCTTTAAAGAAATGTCTATTCAAGTCTTTTGCCTGCTTCTGAATTGGGTTGTTCTGTTTTGGTTTTGAGTTGGAGTCTTCATATATTCTTGTCATTAAGCCCTTACGAGATACATGGCTTGTGAATATTTCCTGCCATCCTGTGGACTGTCTTTTCCACTCTTGGTGGTGAACTCTTTTTTTCATACATTTTTAGAGCTACAGTCTTGCTATGTTGCCAGGCCGGAGTGCAGTGGCTGTTCATAGGCACAATCATAGCTCACTGCAAACTCCAACTCCCAGGATCACACCATCCTCCTGCCTCCGCCTCCTGAGTAACTAGGACTACAGGTGCGCGCCACCACTGTACCTGGCTGATAGTGTACTTTGTTGCATAAAAGTTTTTAATTTTGATAAAGTTGACTTTATCTAGTTTTCCTTTTCTTGCCTGTACTTAACCGTGTCATGTGCAGGAAATCATTGCCAAATCCCTACGTTTCCTTCTAAGAGTTTTACCGTTTGGGGTCTCAGGTTTAGGTCTTCAATTCATGTTGAGTGATTCTTTGTATATGGTGTTAGGTGAGGGTCTGACTTCACTCTTTTTTTTTTTTTTTTTTGGAGACAGAGTCTCACTCTGTTGCCCGGGTTAGAGTGCCGTGGCTTCAGCCTAGCTCACAGCAACCTCAAACATCTGGGCTCAAGCAATCCTCCTGCCTCAGCCTCCCGAGTAGCTGGGACTACAGGCATGCGCCACCGTGCCTGGCTAATTTTTTATATATATATTTTTAGTTGTCCAGATCATTTCTTTCTATTTTTTAGTAGAGACGGGGTCTCACTCTTGCTCAGGCTGGTCTCCAATTCCTGACCTTGAGCAATCCACCCGCCTCGGCCTCCCAGAGTGCTAGGATTACAGGCGTGAGCCACCGCGCCCGGCCCACTCTTGCGTGGGGATGTCCAGTTTTGCCGGCACCGTTGCAGACCATCTCTTCTCCAGTCAGGCCTCCAGCCACCTCCCACGCCCAGCCATGGGGTTAAGAGCATTGTTCCTCTCTTCTGCCTCTTCTGTCGCATGCTTGGGGCAAGCTCCTTGTTCTCCCAGCCTCCATTTGCTTATCTGTGAAATGGAGCTACTGGGTTGTTCTGAGGATTCTTCGATACAGGGCCTCATTGCAGGACCAGCCTTCTCCCCCCAGCACCCTCTTCAGCTACAAAAACCCTAATTTTACCAAGGCTATATATATAGAGAGAGCAGCTCCCAAGTTCAGGTTCACCAGGATCACTGTTGACAGCAAAGTCATTTCAGGGGCCAAGTGAGATGGGGAAACACATGGCTGCTTTGGGTGCCACCGTGTCTTTTCACATTTAATTAAATGTGGCTCGGCCCTCAGCCCATATACGGGGCAAACCCAGGCTGCTGCAGGTCCGCGTGGCACCCATACGCATGGATCCAAGGGCGGGCTGGGCTTTGCTCACAGAGGCCCTGAGCCCAGCCCCAGCCGGTGTCTTTGGGGGTCCTTGGGGCTCATGTTGCTCCTAGTCACATCCGCTTCTGCATCAGCCACCCCTTACAATATCCTGTTCCTGCACCATCACCTCCTGCCACCAGTTAGGGCCCACGCAAAGCAGGCGCAGGGCCATGGGAGCAGCTGTAGTGACCAGCTAACAACGTCACACACTAGCTTCCCCCGGGCCTGTTCCTCGCCCAGCCTGCCACAGCCAAAATCGTCTTCTGAGAACGCTGCTTCCAGCTGTCCAAGTGACACTGTGCCACACACCAACCCTGCCTTGCTTCGCAGTCCAACCCTGGGCCTTACTTTCCTCATCCGTAAAATGGCCCACCCCTCCCCTGGCCCATGTTGCTAGAGAGTGTGTAGGGCTGTGAGTGTGGCCACATGCTTCCCCAGCCTCTTCCTGCCTACCCAGGTCGCCCGTCCCACGGCCCCCTCACTCCCCTGACCACAGACACATCCCTGCACACGTGTCAGCTGGTGGGCCAGGACAGACCCATGGGATGAAGCCTGTTGCCCAGGGGAACTTCACGGCCACATTCACGGAGCTGCAGGACTCGGATGCCAGGATGGAGGTGCAGGGGCCCGGCAGGCAGCTGCTCACTCCTCCCTACTGCGGAGTCAGACTAGAGAACTGTCCCTCCAGGTGGTCTTTGCACCCCTTGTCCATAATATCTGCCCCCCACCCCGAGCTCTGTCCCTTATACCGAGCAACATAAACCCCAGATCTCTCAGGATCAGGGGATCCTAGTCCAGTTCAGGGACCACCTGTGCTTGTGGGCACGTCCTGGAAAGGTGTCTGGCTGCCACCCCAGCCCGCTCCCTCCCGTCTGGGGACACTGGACTCTGGTTTCCTGGCACAAGCTTCTTGCCATCACCAACCTTCTGGGATGCCCGTTGTGGCTGGGTGCTGGGGGCCTTGCAGGGAGCCCCTGCACAGGCCCACCCTCCCGGAGCTCACAGCCTGATGGGGGAGACACATTCAGGCAGCCAGGCAGCTGAGGCAACGTGTGGCAGGGGCAGCATCCCAGGGGAGAAGGGGACGTCTGGGAGATGGGCTTGGGAAGACCCTCTGAAAGGCAACAAACCCAGCCTGTTCTCGCCAGGAATCACCAGGGTTGTCAGGGAGAGGGGGAGAGTGGGATGAGAGTGGAGACCAGAAGAAGGGCTGGGACAAGACCATGGACTGGGAAACGGAGCAAGATGGAGGATCAGCAGCCTTGGGGGCTCCTGCCCTGTTGAACAGTGAAAGAGACCCCAATTCTGCCCATCCCCACAAAGCCCCGGCTCCCAGACTGCCCCACCCTGGGGTCAGCCCTCCAGCACTGAGAACCCCCAGCCGGGGCTTGCTCTCGGCACGTTCCCCACCCTTCCTGGGGCCCTGAGCACTGCCTGCAGAGCAGCAGGAGCAACTGTCGAGGGCCCAGACGGCAACGGGTGAACCACGGCCTGCAGTCAGAGTCAGGCCCTTAGGAGCCACCAGGAACCAGAAGCCCAGGCCCTGGCACTCTGGGCACCAGCAGGCGCACCCCGTGCGCCCCCTCCGCCCCCCGCCAGCACACGGGTCAGGGAACACTTCCGAAGTCCTTTATTGGGCCGGCAAGGCCGGGAGCTGCCCTTGGAGTGGGGGTCCCAGTCTGGAACCTTCAGGTCGGTGGCGTCCCTGCCTGTTCTGACCCGGGGCAGGCAGCCTCCGCTGACTCACTACTTGGTACGCCCCTTCACGTATTCCCAGCCCTCCTTGGAGTACTCGCAGGCCTTGGAGGGGGCCACTGACAGAGCCGAAATCACTGTGATGATACCTGTGGAGAGGGCACAGCCACCCAGTGAGGTCCCCTGCCCAGCCTTGGCCAAGGCCCAGGAAAAACTCTAGGTTGGCAAGGCTTTTGTAGAGGCACAACATCCAGCAGAGAAACTGAGGCAGACGAGAGGCGGGGCCTTGTCTTGGCCAAGCTCACAGGACAAGTTCCATAATGGGCTCCTACATCCCATTCTACCGGACAATGCACAGCCCGGCCCTCTAAGGAGACTCCCTCGTGGCCCCCTCCCTGGAATCTCCACTCCTCTCTAGATCCGTAGGAGATGCACACGGCAGAAACAGGGACGAACGGAAAGGAATGGCCAGGAAGCATAGAGGGTGCTAGCCTGGAGTGTCTGGGGCCACCTCCCAAGCAAAGGGACTGGGGGTGCCTACCTGAATTCCAGGAGTCACGGATCGGAAAGTAAATCTTTGGAGGGGCTGGGAGCTGGGAAGAAAGATGGGCAGAACAGGCTGGTGAAAGGTGCTCAGGCCTTGGGATCAGGCCAGCACCAGAGCAGAAGACACCAAGCAGGGCTGGAGGGACCCCAGAGCCAAACTCCCGCCAAGCCCTGGCCTCACTCCCAGCCCTGGGTACCTTGGGTATCTGCAGGCCTGTCTGGTCACACACGTACTGGCTGAACTGGTACATGGCCGGGGGGACCACCTCCCCGGCCTTCCGCAGGGCTGCCTCGCTCTTGTCGCTGGGCCCCAGAAGCTCCTGATCGTACACCAGGTAGACGGCGCCCCCAGCCACACTGCCCTTGATGAGGAACCTGTAGGCAAGGAAGGAAGGGACAGAAGCTCAGTGGACACTGCTGGCCACCCACAAGGGTCTAGGCCTCCAGGGAGGAGTTAGACCCTCCCAAGGGCTCACAGTCCAGAGAGTGACACACTGTGGCACCAAAGGCACGCAATGTACAGTGTGCAAAGCAGGGCGACTTAATACCACTTTAACCGGCAAAGTGACGCCGGGAGAGGGATAGTTGGTCACTCCAAGTCCGAGAGCAAGGGACAGTGAAGACGTTAAGTCCTCTGACTTTCTAGAAGCCTTCCTGCCTAGGTAGGGACGCTCCGCGAGCAACCCAGGGGTTTTTCTAAGTGTCCCTGGGCGCTTCCTGTATGTCACTCGCTGCTCTGGGCATGCATTAACCTCCCCATCACGGCAAGCAGCAGGTTTCACCGGGCATTCCCACTTCACAGATGAAGCAACTGAGGCTCGGAGGAGTCGCCCACCCCTTGAGTGGGATGACAAGACTCGCTGGGGGACGATCGGCGACGTCGGGAAGCCCCACCACACTTGACCCTCAGTTTCCCTATGTGGGCCACGTGGGCGGAGGAGCTGACACTATGGGAAGCAAAGAACAGATCGGGACCAAACCGGAGGGGGGGTGCCTATAGGAGGGGGACGTCCCGCGGCCCCACGCACCTCATCAGCGACCACACCCGGGACACCATGGTCACTCGGCTCCGCGCGCAAGGACACTAGACTCGCCCGCCGCTTCCGGCCGCGACGGCGCAGAGGCCTCTGGGAAATGTAGTCTTTCTTCTCAGCCTCAAAAGCCTCCGGGAGTCGGAGTCTCGTTACGGCTCTGAGACGCCGGAAAAGGGCTGCGAAAGGCGTCTGGGAAATGCTCCCTTCCCCGGGCCCGGGCCGCCGCAAAGCTGTCTGGGAAATGTAGTCGGCACCGCCCCGTCAACCGCCTGTTTGCGAAGCCTTCTGGGAAATGTAGTCAGCCCAACTGGCCCTGGCGGAGTGAGGGGAAAAAGGCCTCGAGTTTCTTGAGTGAAACCTGAGTGTGACCCGAGAAGATCTCGGAGCCCGAGAGATCCACCCGCGCCCGCGCGGGGGACTAAAGGCGCGGACTTAGGAAGAGTGAGCCTAGAAGGCAGATGTCACGGCAACACGAGGGCGGGATTGTTCTAGAGGGGCGGGCCCGAAGTCACGTGATCACATCCGGGTGTGGCGCCTCCATCTAGTGGGCGGGGCCGAGACTGGGAGGCGGAGAGTCCCGCGGAGGCCGTTGCCTGGCAACGCTCAGGCGCGCGGTCCCCACGACCTGGCCCCTCCCTCCCGCCCTCGAGGAGGTGGGTTCGGAGTCACGTGACTCGGGCCCAACCGGGAAGGGGGCGCGGTCCGGGACCCGGCCGGACGCGGCCAGGGCGAGAGGCCCGAGGGCGTTCGTGTGGTTCCCAGGCTGGGCCCCCGGCCCCTTTGGCGGGGGAAACAAAGGCCTGAGTGGGTGAGTGTGTGGCTGGGACCTCGCGGCGGGCCACACGCCCCCTTTGTTCAGAGGGAAAGCTGAGATAGGCAGGCAGGGGCCAGAACCCCTGGGCTTTGGGCTGGGTGTGGAGCTTGGTCTCCATCGGGGCCGGGGAGAGCCCTGAGACGGTTTGGAGCAGGAAGGGGCACGGCCAGATTTCTTATGACAAAGATCCCTTTGGCTGTGTGGGGAGGAGAGGCTGCAGGGAACCCGTGTGAGGTGGGGAAGCCACAGTGTAGGTGGGGAAGCCCCGGGGCCAGGGCAGGGGGCAGGGGCCAGGAGGCAAGTGATGCGCCCTGGGGAGGGGACAGTGGGAGAGAGATTTCTGAGAGAGAACTGGTGCGACCTGGGGACCAGCAGGCCCTGGGGGACAACGGATGGGAGGAGGTGAGGCCAGCACCGGGCCTACTCTCCGAGGATGGGCTACAGTGGCGCCATCCTGGTAGTGGTGACCTGGGAAGAGGCAGGTTTGAGGTCAGATGCTGAGCCTGGGGTTCCTGGAGGATGTCAAGGGAACACGCTAAGAGAACATCAGGGGCAGAGACTGTAGGGCCGGACCCAGAGATTGAAGATGTGGGGACTCCCCAACCCCACCACCTCCACCTGGTCCCTCTCAGCTCCATGGGTTCGGGAACTCCCCCTGTCCTCATCCCATCGAGTTTAGGGGACAGAAACCCAAAGATGTGATAGGTCTGTGCCCTTTCTGGGGAAGACCTATAATCCCTGGAACTTTAAGAACCTGGCCTGTTTTTCTGTTTCACCTTCTCCCTGGAACAAGTAAATCAGCTCCCACAGCTGAGGTCACATGTGAACCCCGATGACACGGGCACCTCTGTCTCCAACCCCAGCCCTGCGTGTCCACCTCCTTCCTTGTGAGCATCTCCAGACAGAGCTGTCTCCCTGGACTCCCCCAGCTCTCACCTCCCACGTTCCTCATATCACTGCATTGTCAATCTAGTATCTATTGAGCTCCTACTGTGTGCCTGGCACCGTTTGGGGTAATGAAGACCCAATAGTGAACGAAACAGAAACAGATGTTCATTTCCTTCCTGCCCTCATGGGGAAGAGCCTTCCAATCAGCAGGAACAGCCAGTGCAAAGGCCCTGAGGCAGCATGGTGAAGAAGAAGCTGCTCTAGCAGAGCAGAGTGGGCAAGTAGGGGTGGTCCATGCAGGGCCTTTTTGGCCATCCAGGAGTCTAGTTTTTATCCTAAAATGAATCCGAAAGGATTTTCAGCTGAGGAGGAGGCAAGATATGATTCGGCTGCTGGGTGGAGGGAGTTGAGCCACAGCGGTGGCCTGGACAGATGGTTGCCATGGAGGTGGAAAGGAGGGGGCAGGTCCACGGCAGGCAGCATCACCAAAGGCTCATCAAAGCCTGGCTGTGGGCCAGGCCTGTGCTGCCCACCCTCTCTCCTGCTGCAGGCCCACGGAGGGCCATGAAGGTGCTGCTCCTCACAGCGCTGGGGGCCCTGTTCTTCGCCTACTATTGGGACGACAACTTCGACCCAGGTGAGCAGCTGGGGGCGGGGGAGGGAGAAATCGGGCTGGCCTCCCCTAAGGCTGACTCCCCCTGCTCCCTGCCAGCCAGCCTCCAAGGCGCCCGCGTGCTGCTGACGGGGGCCGGTGCGGGTGTGGGTGAGGAGCTGGCGTACCACTACGCCCGCCTGGGCTCGCACCTGGTGCTCACTGCCTACACCGAGGCCCTCCTGCAGAAGGTAAGACCACCCGTGTCCAGTTGAATGGTGCGGGTGCTAGTGGGGGTGGGGTGAAGAAGAACTGGGTTTGAATCCCTGAAATGATCCAGGCTTCCTGTGTGACCTTGGGCAAGTCACCTAACCTCTCTGAGCTTCAGTTTCCTCATTTGCAAAAAGGGAGGCAAAGTACCTTCTCATGAGTCATGGCGTTGTCCTGATGCAGTTGCAGGGGGCATTCCTCACTAAATGGGAGTATTGATAGTGTCGTGCCTGTGCCGATAGCCAAGGTGCTCAAACTCAAAGGGGGGAGGCACTTATTAGCAACGGCCCGTTGCTACTTCAAGGGACTGGACCGCTCTTGGAGACAAACCTTCCAAATTTTCAAGAGAAGCCAGAACTGTGGAAATTTTATGTTTGGGCCCCCAAAGAGGTAAAGCTTTGGGAATGATGCTGAATGGGACCCGAGGCTCAGAGCAGAGCAGGGCCCCTGCAGGTGGAGGGGGGCCAGCTTGGGATGAGAGGCCCACGGGCAGCTCTGGCCCCACCAGGTGGTAGGGAACTGCCGGAAGCTGGGCGCCCCCAAGGTCTTCTACATCGCGGCGGACATGGCCTCCCCCGAGGCGCCCGAGCACGTGGTGCAGTTTGCCCTGGACAAGCTGGGTGAGGGGCGGGGCCTGGAGTCCAGAGTCCGGGACCGTGGCCTTAGGGGCAGGACCGGAATTGGGGTGGGGGTGTGATAGTAAGGGACGTCTGAGGGCGGAGACTTGTGTGGTCCGGGGGCGTGGCCGGGGGTGGGGCCTCATTGCACTGGGGGCGGAACTCTGGACGGGGTTCAATGCAGGGAGTCCTAGGGGCAGAGCTCACCTGGGCAGCTCTCTGGGGGCGGGGCCTCTCAGGGGGCGGGGTTTGGGACGGGGTTGATCGCGCCCAGGGGCGGGGCCTCCGAAGGTAGCCTCGGGCTGACCGGCCTTTCTGGCCCAGGCGGCCTGGACTACCTCGTGCTGAACCACGTCGGCAGCGCCCCAGCCGGCACACGGGCCCGCAGCGCCCAGGCGACACGCGGACTCTTGCAGGTGCTCCGCTCCCGCAGCGGCCGGGCTCAGGGCTCCCTGCGCCCCTTGCCCGGGCTCCGCCCTCCCGGTCCTGGCCCCGCCCCCGTCCTTTGCTACGCCCCTCCCGCCCTTGGCCCCGCCCCTGGGCCGTGCTCAGTCCTCGGGCCCGGCCGGCCGGGATTCTAGGCTCCACCCTCTTCTGAGTCTAGGCCCCGCCCCGGGCTCCGCCTCCGCCTGGTGACTCGCGGTCGCCGCCTGCAGGTGAACTTGCTGAGTTACGTGCAGCTGACTTCGCGGGCGCTGCCGAGCCTGACTGACAGCAAGGGTTCCCTGGTGGTGGTGTCCTCGCTGCTCGGTGCGTGCGCGGCCCAGCTCCGCGGGCGGCGCGGGCGAGCCTGGAGCGGGCGGGAAGGCTTCCCGAAGGAGAGCAGGCAAGGTGTCGCCGCTCAGCTGCCGCCCCGCCCCCCAGGCCGCGTGCCCACGTCCTTCTCCGCGCCCTACTCGGCGGCCAAGTTCGCGCTGGACGGCTTCTTCGGCTCCCTGCGGCGCGAGCTGAACGTGCAGGACGTGGATGTGGCCATTACCATGTGTGTGCTGGGACTCGGGGACCGCGCCCCCGCCACCGAGGGCGTCAGGTGAGGCCGCGCGCGGGCTGGGGCCAGGCGGGGGGCTTGGGGGACCGCCCAGCCCTGGTTCCACCGCGCCCTCCCGTCCCCAGGGGCGTCACGCGGGCCAAGGCGGCCCCGGGGCCCAGGGCTGCCCTGGCGGTGATCCGTGGCGGGGCCACGCGCGCCTCCGGAGTCTTCTACCCGTGGCGCTTCCACCTGCTGTGCCTGCTGCGGGGCTGGCTCCCGCGCCCGCGGGCCTGGTTCATCCACCAGGACCTGAACGTCTCGGCTGCGGCTGCCGCCTGAGCCCCGGGGTGGGGCCCCTCACCTTCCAGAGAGGGGCGCTCCGCCCGGGACACGAACAGAGACACCTCCGAGAGGGTGGCTGCAGCCCGAGATAGAGCCATCAGCACAGAAACGCAAAACCAGGAAAAACCGCCAGCACCTGGACCTAGTCTCAGCTGTGGCTGTGAGCGCAGCCCGTTGTGCTAGGCCCTTGTCCGGGACTTGGAAGGCGCCACCGCCGTCTTCGTGGCCGTCATCGATGACATGATTACTGCTTCCATTTGCAGACCAGGAGACTGAGGTTCAGGCAGGTGACGTGACCTGCCCCGGGTCACGCCACCCCTGGAGCCCTCTCCATGTCCCATCTGAACCTCTGAGTCCTTCATTTACTCTTTCCACTCATTCAATCTGGGAGCACCCCCCACCCCTGCCGGCTTCCCCCAGCTGGGGTCTCTGGTGCGCTTGACACCCCCGGGTACACACGTGTTAGAGGAGGAGGAGGGAAAGAGCGTGTTGTGGGCCGGACCCAGCTTCCCGTTTCGTAATAAAAATCCTTCCTCCCTTGCATATCTGTTCAAATTCCTTGGTCCCTCTAATTTTCTGGCTGTGGGCAGGGGGAGGGTGCGTGTGTACCGGGACCGTTACTCTCAGCCCCATTTCACAGATGGGGAAGTGGAGGCTGAGAGCGAGAGGGATGGACCTCGCTCAGGTCAGGAGGTCAGGGGCGGAGGGAGGGCACCGTGGTGGGGCAAGGCTGTGTCTGCAGCATGCGGTGCGTCGTTTGTGCATCGTCAACAACATGCATCGGGCCCTAAGCCCTTGACTTCCATCATCTCGTGGCATCTTCACAGCCGGAGGGTGGTGCTACAATTGTCTCTGTTGTGCAGATGAGAACACTGAAGCTTAGGGGAATTCCTAGGGTTCTGGTGCCAGGACTGTCCCTGTGTCGGGCAAGGGGTGGGCTATGTCTACACATCGCCGATATTCACATCAATTCATTGAAATCTGACACTCTCCCCCGCCCCGCAAATGGCAAACCAGTTGCATAAAGAAAAAGAAACTGCAAAAATAAAAACTGTTGGATGAATACAATTTTACATAAATAAAATGTTAGCTACTGTGGGCTGTCCAAGACTCTAAGTTTAGCAGGTGTTAGAAGGCCTAACCCCAATCAGGCCAGTCCTAAATTGAAACTCTCTTGGAGGTAAGCAGGATTGAAAGAGAAAAACCTGAATCTTTTGTTTGTTTCCACCACCTGATTCAAAGTTATTTAGCGTCCATCCCCGCATTACCGAAAATTAGATCAAATGCCACCAGGGGGCACTAGAACACATTGCGTTTCTCAGACCTAGCCCAGAGCTTCACCCTATGCATAATGAAACCAATACCCTCGTTAATGGACGTTTTCTTTTGTTCCAGGTACAGGTATATCGTGTTCAAACGAGACATTATCCTCATTCTATAGATGGAGAAATTGAGGTTCTGGGAGAAATCGAAGTCGCTGGCGCAGCGTCAGCTAGCGAGTGACGGAGTTGGGATTCGAACTCTTCACCTAGAGACGGGGGGGGGATTCACGCAGCCACAGCCACGCCCACCGGCTCCGACTCCTGGTCTCGGGTTCTGTGTTATAAATACGCACGCTCACGGAGCCTGGTTGCGCATGCTCAGGGGGGAAACGCAGGGAATCCTCCAGCCGCCAGGGGGCGCGCGCACCATTCTCGCCTCTCTGGCCCGCGCGTCCCACGGCGGGTAGATATCCCAGGGTTCCGCGCGGCGCGAGCCCTTCCGGTGCGGCCGCCATCAGGGATTCCAGGTAGGTACGCTCGCGCGCGGCCCAGATCCGCCACCATCCGGGCCCCCGGGCTGCCGGGGCCCGGTGAGCGAGTTGGAGGATGGCTGGGCACGGCAGGCGAGCCCGAAGGAGCCAGGGCGCGGGGTTCCGAGCCTCGGGAACCGAGCCGGGACTCACTTCCTCCCCGTCTCCGCTGCTGTCCGCAGTCATGGCGCTGCGCTACCCCATGGCCGTGGGCCTCAACAAGGGCCACAAGGTGACCAAGAACGTGAGCAAGCCGAGGCACAGCCGCCGCCGCGGGGTGAGTGCCGGGGCGCGCCGTCGGGGCCGCGCGGCTGGGCAGAGGCTCCGGGCGCGGAGGAGCGCGGTCGGGCCGTCTGGGGTTCCCAGGGGGAGTTCTGGGGCGCTCTAGTGGAAGAAAGGGAGGGGAGCCGGACTTGCCGGACCAGCGTGTGAACACGAACACCCATCTTGGCGCTCTCCGCCCGTGGGGCCGAGGTTGGAGCAGAGAGCGCGACTTCAGGGGGCGGCGTGTGCGAGCGGGTTTGGGGTTTTGATGCATGAGGAGGAGTTCGCCAGTAGAACGGCAGCTGGGTCGGGGTTGGAACGGGGAAGGGCAAAGATGAGGCCTTGAGTGTCAGGTTGGGGGATTTCCTGTTTGTCACGGGTCGTGGGCGCCTTCATTCGGGGGGCTTCCCCGCGTGCCTCGCCTGCGCCCAGTGTGCGGGGATTCCTGGCGCGGGGAACAGCCCGTGCGAAGGGCAGGAGGGTCCTGCCGGCGTCGAGAACGCTGGGACTTGGGGGAGCGCTTGCGCTTCCCTGTGCGGACGGGGTGAAAAGCTGCACCCGTGAATTCTTTCTGAATTCTCTGTTACAAGTAGCGGGGAGGAATGCAGCCGGGGATACCGAGGCACAGCGTGAGGCTAACGGGGCGCGGGGAGGGCCGAGTGGGCTGGCCTCGGAGTCCCCGCCCTGACCTGCCTGCCTTGCCCCTCAGCGCCTCACCAAGCACACCAAGTTCGTGCGGGACATGATCCGGGAGGTGTGCGGCTTCGCCCCCTATGAGCGGCGCGCCATGGAGCTGCTCAAGGTCTCCAAGGACAAACGGGCCCTCAAGTTCATCAAGAAGAGGGTACGTGGGCTGCCGGCGGTCGGGCACAGGGCGGGACTGGGGGGGGCCTGGCTGACGGGTGGCTTTCCTCGCCTGGCAGGTGGGGACACACATCCGCGCTAAGAGGAAGCGGGAGGAGCTGAGCAACGTCCTGGCCGCCATGAGGAAAGCCGCCGCCAAGAAGGACTGAGCCCCTCTCCCCTCTTGTCCCCGCGCACAATAAACCTTAACACACACACAGCCTGTGGCCCTTGGCGTTGGGGCGGGGCACGATCTTTAATCGTAATTAAATAGCGCACAGGTGCAGACTCCGATTAAGCCGTCATTGAGGTCCCTTGGCTGAACCCAGGCCACCGGGCTGAGCCTCTGGTGGCTCAGCTGCCAGGCCTGCGCGCCCCTGCCTCACACGTGTGTCCCAGGCTGGGCCTGTCATTGCCAACAGCAGTCCTGGGGCCGCAGTCACCGCTCCACGGCCAGGGCCTCGGCCTGCTCCTCCGGGAAGGCGATGTCGAAGATCTCGCGGTAGTGCTCCACGAAGTGCACCTCCAGGCCCTCGGTGATGAAGGCCGCCAGGTCGTAGAAGTCCTTCTTGTTCTCCGCTGGCAGGACGATGCACGTCACTCCAGCGCGTTTGGCCTGGGGAGGAGGGAGAGTGTGGTCCTGGGTCAGCCCTGCTGCAAACCCTGGGTAGCAACTGCCGTGACCCGCCACCTTCCCCATCCCAGGCCTGGTCCCCTCGCCACCCCTCCAGCTAGGGGTGGGCAGTGGGAACGGTTCCCCGAGTTCAGTACAATCACGGCATCCACCGCTTTGCATTTAAAGGTCTGGCACCCGGGAGCTGAATATCCAGTAGCGATGAAAATGCCACACACTTTGGGGGGGTGGGGATGCCTGTGAGCACCCCAGTGCGGGCCTGTCCCTCCTCTGCCCACAGCCCTCCATGGCTCCCACCTGCCTTGGGGCCAAAGCCCATGTTCTGCACAACCCACCCCCATAATCTTCAAGCCACACAGTCTGCCCGGGCATCAGGCAGTCCCTCCCACAGCCTGGGTGCTGCTGCTGTCCCCAACCCCTGAGCTGCAAACCTTGGAGGGCAGTGGCTCAGGGACACAGCACTAGCTGACTCCCTTAACCTCCCACTTTGCTGTCATCTGACCAGCCAGGGAGGGCAGGGCAGCACTGCGCTGCTGGCTCAGCTCTGAGCCCAGGATGGAGGCAGAGCTGGGTTGGGAAGGAAGGACCAGGGGCTGCAGACTCTGCTCAGTCCTCTCACCTGCTCAGTACCTGGGAACAGACCGACCTCTGCTCTTGCCCCGTGGCTCAGCTCGCACTGGGCGCTGGGCTGAGCAGGGAGCCCAGATAGAGTCCTCCTCCTATGGGAAGGTTCTAGAGCATTCTCCAAAGTCTTATAAAGGCTGAGAACTGCTGTGGAAGGGCAGCCAGCTCAGTAAGGGATCTAGGCGAGGCTACCTCACTTCCCTCATCTGCAAAATGGGCCATTTCCCTTCCTCTGCCTATCTGTGACACCTAAACAACGGCACTATGGATGGCAGCCGATGTCTGCCCCATGACACGGGGACAGGCCACTCACCGCGATGGTCTTCTCCTTGATGCCACCGACTGGCAGGATCTTGCCCGTGAGGGAGACCTCACCAGTCATGGCCAGGTTCTGCCGGACGGGCCGGTCCATGGCCAGCGACAGCAGGGCCGTGACAATGGTGCAGCCAGCACTCGGGCCGTCCTTGGGGGTGGCGCCCTGGTGGGGAGAGGCAGGTGAGCGGGTGGCGCCGGCCGCGGGGCAGCAGGTGGTCGTGGCAGGGACACCCACCTCAGGCACGTGCAGGTGGATGTGTGAGGTCACCAGGTACTCGTTGGACGGGTCGTGCTGCATCAGGAAGGCCCTGGCGAAGGTGTAGGCGATGCGGGCGCTCTCCTTCATCACCTCCCCCAGCTGGCCGGTCACCTCCAGGCTGCCGTCCTTGTCGCCTTTGGGGTCTCTGTCCCGTGGCCGCCTTGGAGACGTCTCCACAAACAATGTGGAGCCTCCTGGGGGGTGGGGGGTGAGCCCGTGAATGCTGGGGGCGCTGGCCCCGGCCGGCCCACCCTCCCGACACTGCCCACCACGCCAGCGGCCAGGCTAGTTCGTGCACAGTCGCTTCAAGTGCGCAGGGTCCCGGCCGCCCAGAGCCTGCCCTGCGCCCCAGACAGCGCCCGGCGGCTGCCGGCCACAGGGGTCAGCCCGGGGCTGTGGTGCCCCCAGCACCAGGGTCCTGGATGGTCTCGTGTCAAGGAGCTCCTCATCCCCCACCTACAAACCTATCAAGGTGTCACCCCAATAAAGCTCATCATGTGCCACTGCCCTGCGTGGTCACATCCTTTCCCTCAGCGAACCCGAATCCCCAGGACCCCCACAGTGCCCAGGTCGGAAGGTGGGAGGTGCTTGCTCTGGACAGAACGAGAAAAGCTTTGAGTCCTCTCGGCGTGACAACCGAGGGGCGCAGAAGAACGAGACCCCGCTGGAGCCCCTGCCTGCCACAGGCCCCCGGGGCGGCCGCTCACCCATGGCGGTCCAGGCCAGCCCCATGACCACGCCGGGCGGCGTCACGTCGTACATGCGCTCCACCGTGAAGACGGGCTTCCCCACGAAGTCCTGCAGGTTCTCGGGCGTCACCTCCACGGACTCGGCCTCGCCGCTGACGATCTTGTAGGCCGACTTCCGCAACACCTGCGCGGGCGGGGGAGGCGAGGTGGGCGCCGGTGGGCAGGCGGAGGGGGCGCCGAGGCGGCAGGCAGGGGGCTGCGGGGCAGGGGCAGGGCTGCCCTCACCTTCTCCACCTGCTTCTGCAGGTTGCGGACGCCGCTCTCCCGGCAGTACTGCTTGATGAGCAGGGTCAGCACGTCCGACGACAGCCTGGCCTTGCTCTCGTCCAGGCCGCACAGGGCGCGGGCCTGGGGCACCAGGTAGCGCTGCAGGCGGGGGCCGTCAGACCTCGGGGTCAAGAGCCAGTGCCTCTCTCGTGAGAGGCCACAGACCCCCTGGCCAGGCAGCCCTGCCGCCCCTCATGCCCCAGAGGCCCCCAGTCTCTGCTAGTGCCACATCCTCTGCCCAGATCCACTTCCTGCCCCCCGCAAGATGTCATCTTAGATGCCGCTTCCTCCAGGAAGGCCTCCTGGCTCCCCTGGGCTGGCCCATGTATAAACTGAGGTCCCAAGCGGTAGCTGACTGGTTTTGTGGTGGCTGCTATTGGCAGACAGGATGGGGACTGGGTTGGAGATTCCAGGGTCACCCAGCACAATTCTTGCCAGGTCTGTGCTGTGACGGCACAGCCAAGGGTGTCTGAGACACAGGAACAGAGCCATGTGTGTCACCCTGCATTTGCCAGCTGATGCTGGGGTCGGTCCTGGAGCCTCAAGGAGTCCCCAGGACCCTCCCCTGTTACCCCCCGGGAACTGCAAACAAGCCCCCCTCTCTGGGAAGTCAGGCTGCCAGCGGGGCCCTGAGCGCTGCGACCCAGCGCCTACCACAGGCTGCAAAAGGGGTCCCGGGGGAGAGAGGTGCTCAGCCCCTTTCTAGAACGAAAAGACTCAGAAACACAAGGCTCCTCTCTAGCAAGGGACTCGGCTGTCTGCTCACTGAGGACGCCCCCTGCCCTGCGTCACGCCAAGCAGCGGCCACAGGTCTGACCCGGTTCTGAGCTGGCTGAAGCTCCCCACTCCCGGCACCAGGAGCCGGCAGGGCCCGCCCTGGACTCGACCCGGACGGCTGCCCCAGGCGCAGGGAACCCGAGCGCATGTGACCACAGCAGAGGGCCCTCGCGGGGATGCTCCCATCGCGGCAGAGCGCGACACCCACGCTGGCATTCTCACGGCCCAGGCCCGGGCCCTGGCACCCAAGGCGGACTCCTGCAGGCTCAGCGCCTGTTTCCGTGGCACCTGCTGCTCCCGGCAAGCCCCCAGCAGCCCTGCCGCCCCCCCACGTGCGGGGCCCCTGCTGCGCCGGCGGCGGCCCACCTCCGCGATGGCCAGCTTCTCCTGGGCCACGTAGCCAGACACGTTGATCATCTCCATCCGGTCCCGCAGCGGCTCAGGGATGGTCTCGGTGACGTTGGCCGTGCAGATGAACAGCACCTGGGGGCGGCGCCGAGCTGCTGGGACCGCCGGCCCCGCCCCTCCCCGCCCAGGCCCCCGGGTGGGCGTGGCCCCACCTTGGACAAGTCCACAGGCACGTCCAGGTAGTGGTCCAGGAAGTTGGCGTTCTGCTCGGGGTCCAGCAGCTCCAACAGTGCCGAGGACGGGTCCCCTTGGAAGCCACGGCCGATCTTGTCCACCTGGGACAGCACAAGCAGGTGGCATTGGCGCCCACCCTACACCCCTGGCCAAGCACGCCCAGTGGGGGCCCGCCGGGCTGGGACACCCCCAGCAAGGGCAGGGACCACACTCTGGGGCTCGGAGGGGGTCCTGGCTGTGGACAGGGGGTGGCGGGGTGGGGCCTGTTCTCAGAGCCAGCTTCACAGACACTCAGGAGGGACCAGGGCCCGGGCCACCCTCCCCGCGGGGCGAGCACCTCGTCTATGAGGACGAGGGGGTTCTCCGTCTTCGTCTTCTTCAGGCACTGGATGATCTTGCCGGGCATGGCCCCCACGTAGGTCCGCCTGCGGCAGGCACAGCGGGCTCAGCGGCTCGCCGGGGCCCCACTGCCCACACGCGGGCCGCGGCTGGGCCAAGACCCCAGGCCCTCAGCACATCGTGCCCCCTCTGGGGCCCCTCGCAAGAGGCCACGAGGAAATCCACACAACGTGGTCGCGGCACAGGCTGCATAAAAGCCAGCGGCTGCCAGGTGCGCGGCAGCCTGTGGGGCACGCTGGCCACTCGCCCCAGCTCTCCCTGTGCCTGCGAGCGCCATGGCAACGCTGACCCTCAGCCCGGTCTCCCCCGGGTCCGTCCCCAGCCGGCACCTCCCACTGGCACGGTGGAACCAGTCAGAGTTCTCCCGCCCAACAGAGCGAGCGCCTGGGGCCAGACTGGGGCACAGCAGGCGTGACAGGCACCCAGCCCAGGGCCTAGCCATGCTGGCACTTGCCCCACCCCGGCAGAGGTGCCTGACCCTCAGCAGGGAACAAACCAGAGTTGTCCTGGAATCCTGCCCTGTGGCCCAGCGGGGCAGACAGACCAAAAAGGAGCTAGAGGGGAACCCACGAGGAAGGACTTTCTGTACGCCACAAAGAAACAAAACGTGGGGGTTGCCATGGGGGGAGGGGAGTGCATGTGGCATTAGGTGTGTGCACATGTGTGTGGGCTAAGAAATGTCTTAGTGAGAGGCCTTGAGCAAGGGAGGTGACAGGGGAGCCACGTGGGGTCTGACAGACGAGCATTCACGCAGAGGCACAGCCTGTGCAAAGGCCCTGGGGCAGGACCGGGCCTGGTGTGTTGGAGGCACAGAGAGGAGGCCCTGTGGCTGGAGCAGAGTGAAGGAGGGGAGAGAGGGAGGAGGGGAGGGAGGGGACAGGGCGGGTCTTGCAGGGCCTTCTTGGGCATAGGGAAGACTTGGGCTTTGACCCTGAGGGAGGTGGGAGCCAAAGAGGGCTGTGTGCTGTTATCACTACTATTGCCAACATGATCCACGTCACCTCCGCAGTCTCCTGTCCTTGGCCTCATTTCAGAAACCCAGATGGACGTCAGCACATATGGCCGCCTGCCCACACTCTCCCCTCTGTCCCTCTCTGGGTGACTCACACCAGTGTCAGACGCCCAGGCCAGTGTGGAAGCCCTGCCAAGGTCTCACCCCCAGCGAGGGGTCCTTGCCTGCAGCTCCCGGCACTCCCGCAGGGCCTGCCTTAGACCACACACCTGGACCGGCTGATGGGGCCCTGGCGCCCGCTCCTCCACCGTCACCCTGCTGCACCCAGCTCAGACCCCAGCCCTGACCAAGGGCCTGCAGCAGCTGCCCTGCCGTCCCGGGCACAGGGGCACCGCCCCAGGCCTGCAGTCGATGCTGCATGGGGGGCCTGGACACAGCGGAGGCTGGGGGCCTCTCCCCTCCCTGCCAGGCAGGCAGCCGAGGCTTGGCTCTGCCCACTGCCACCAGGGAGGGCTGCGAGCCCTGGTGGTCTGAATTACTGATGTTTTTAAAGAAACCAGAAACGTTTTTTTTTTTTTTTTTTTTTTTTGAGACAGAGTCTCACTTTGTTGCCTGGGCTTGGGCTAGAGTGAGTGCCGTGGAGTCATCCTATCTCACAGCAACCTCAAACTCCTGGGTTCAAGCAAACCTTCTGCCTCAGCCTCCCGAGTAGCTGGGACTACAGGCATGCACCACCATGCCCGGCTAATTTTTTCTATATATTTTTAGTTGTCCGATTAATTTCTTTCTAATTTTAGTAGAGGCAGGGTCTTGCTTTTGCTCAGGCTGGTCTCCAACTCCTGAGCTCAAACAATCCGCCCGCCTCAGCCTCCCAGAGTGCTAGGATTACAGGCGTGAGCCACCGCGCCCGGCCAGAAACGTTAACTTTTAAACACAAACTAAACACCCTGTAGAATGGCAACTGGAGGCCGACATAAACCGAAGCTTCACACACCTCTCTGGCCAGGACTACGGTGGTCAAAGAACCACCATCTGCAGTGGCTAGCATGCCGGAAGCCCCAGCAGAAAGCAACCACCCACTGCCCACCGGAAGGGCCGGGCAGCGTGGGGACGCGCACACAGAGGGTTCTGGCCCCTGCTCCAGGCCTGAGGCTGACCAGGGAGGAGAGAGGCCAGACAGGTGCTGAGGTTTCTCTGGTATATACAGTAGTCACGTCCTCCCCAGGCCACAGGCTTCAGGGAGGGCAGCCCCCCACCCCTGGACCAAGGCAGGACATGAGCTGGGACTAGCGGAGCCATCTGCCGAGGGCCTGCCCAAGGGGCCCTCCCAGGGATGGATACATGGAGATTCCTGCCAATGTGTGAGCACCTGGATCCAGCCAGGCCTGAAGTCCACCCACCGCCTGGACATTTCAGTTACTCCAGCACAAGCGGAATTGTTGCTTGCAACCCAAATCACTCCAGCAAATATTAAAGGTCAACCCAGAGGGGACTGAAACCCAACAGCAAGGCTGAGTCCGGCAGGAGGGGGCAGCATGAACGAGGCCAGGCCTACCTGTGTCCCTTGATCTCGGCCACATCAGTCATGCCCCCGACGCTGAAGCGGAAGTACTCGCGGTTCAGGGCGCGGGCGATGGAGCGGGCAATGCTGGTCTTGCCCACGCCGGGGGGGCCATAGAAGCAGAGGATCTTGCCCTGGGTGGAGCCCCGGAGCTGGCTGACGGCGATGAACTCCTGCGGGCGGAGGCAGGCTCAGCGGGCGCGGCAACGGGTTCCTGCCGGCCACCCGTGCCCCAGAGGAGGCGCCCTCCGAATCGACAGGACGACTGGGTGCCAGGAAACCGTGGCGGGCCTCTCTCCCCCGGCAGGCGGCTCCGGCTGAGCCCACGGCACGGGGGATCCCAGGCCCAGGGAGGGGGCAGGTGGCCTCACCAGGATGCGCTTCTTGACGTCCTCCATGCCGTAGTGGTCCTCCTCCAGCACCGCCTGCGCCCGCGCCAGGTCCAGGTTCTCGTCGCTGTACTTGCCCCACGGGATGGACGTGAGCCAGTCCAGGTAGTTGCGGGTGACGCTGCCGCAGGAAGGCGAGAGCTGGTGAGCGGGGTCCTGTGCTGCTCGCTGCCCCGAGGGTCCATCCTGGAAGGGACCCCACCGGGGCTCTCGCGGCTCCCGACCTGAGTGCCCTGCCTGCCCCTCGCAAAGCTCAAGGCACCGCGGAGAGGGACGGGCTCGAGGTCTGCGACCGCCGCTGTCGGCAGCGCACAGAGGCCCAGCCGTCTGTCCAGGGCTGAGCAGGCATCACAGAGGGGGTGAGGCTCAGAAGAGGAGAAACCTGACCCAGGGCAAGTGGGGAAAGAGGGGACAAGGCCACGTCCGCTGCCAGAGAGGGACGCTGCAGGCTGGGAGCCGTGCACTGCAGATGGCACCCGCCGCGGGCCAGGGGCGGTCAGTGAGGGCTGCTGGCGTGGGCCGGTCTGGGGAAGGGGAGGACGGCCACTGAGGAAGGCCAGGTGGCCCCATGTCCAGGTACTGGGTGGCTCGGGGTGAGCTGCCACCAAGCTCACCCTCTGGCACACAAGACGCACCGGGAGAGGCCAGCAGGCCTGGGACACACAGCGGGAGATGTTATCGTAGGGACACGTGAAGTCCCCGCGGAAGGGACTCACGGCTATGAAGTTGCCTCAGGCCTTGCACAAAACCTTCCGGGCAGGGGCTGGGTCACTGGGGGCCTGTCGCAGGCATCTCAGTGAGATGGGGGCTCCGAGGGCTGGTGGACGGCGCTCAGGGAGGGGCAGACACCCCCCAGGCAACCGGAGTGGGCTCGTCCCCCCATGGTAGCCAGAAGCTGGGACAGAACCAGCTCGCAGACCCGCTCAGCTCCTAGGAGGCGGGGGCGTCTGGTTCTGCAGGACCCTGCCTGGTCCGAGCAGGCACCGTCACAAGACCCGGGGGGGGCTGACGCGCCGGTGAGGGAACAGAGTGGCCCCCAAAATATCTACATCCTCACCCTCAGAGCCTGTGCACACGCCGCCTCACACGGCAAAGGGACCCCCACGTGTGGGATGCAGTTAAGGACCTTGAGACGGGAGGTCACCCTGGATGACCCGGGGGCCCAGTGTCAGCACAGGGTCCTCCCACGAGGGGCAGGAGGGTCGGAGGCAGAGAGACTGGAAGACGCTGCGCTGCTGGCTCTGAAGGGGGAGGAAGGGCCCCGAGCCGAGGGACAAGGACGGCCGCTAGACGCTGGGACAGGCGGGAGATGGGTTCTCCCTGGAGCCCCCAGGAGGGACGGGCCCTGCCACGCCATGATCTTAGAACCTGTGCCCTCCGCACCGTACGATGACACAGTGCTGCTTTAAGGCACTAAGCTCACAGCACGGTCAGCCCGAGAAGAGAGGTCGGGGGCACCCTGGGAGTGGAAGCCACGGCCTTCGGAGGGAACCGGCGCGTCGCAGGGTCCTTGTGGGCAGACTCCAGCGTCCCCTGGACATTCTGAGCCCCGGCGGGGCTGGCCCAGCCGCTGCAGAAAGCAGCTCAGGGCCCCCCCCTTGGAGAGCTGACCCGTGCGGAAAACACCCCGGGCACGGCCAGGGCTGCCGCACGACTCGGTCCCTTCCCGGCTCAGAGCCAGGTGTCCCCGCGTTCAAATCCCTGTCGCCGTCTACCAGCTCGGAGACCCCGGTCCCCGACTCAACTTCCCCGAGCCTCAGTTTCCCTGTCTGTAGAGCGGGGACGCTAACGGCCCAGCCCGCCAGCGCCACCACGGTGGGAGCGTGAGCGCCGCAGGCGGGCGGGTCGCCGAGAGGACGCGCGGGCGCGGCTCACTTGAACTCCGAGGAGTGGTTGTCCAGCAGGCCCAGCTTGCTCAGCTCCTCGTCCACCACGTCCATCACGTGCTTGGGCACCACCAGCTCCTTGAGCCGCTCGCGGAACTTCTCCTCGATGGCATCCTTGTCCTCCTTCTCCAGGCCCAGCTCCTTCTTGATGATCTTCAGCTGCTCCTGCAGCAGGTACCTGCGGTGCGTCTGCTTGATCTTCTCCTCCACCTGAACTTTTTGCACACTTCATTATGCGCCGCCCGGGGAAGGGGACGGCCCCGGCCCCCGCCCCCGCCCCGCAGCTCCCCCGGGACGCCTCGCCCAGCCTGGGACCAGCCCCGCATTTAACAGGGACGGGTCCACAGCCCGGAACAGAGCAGCGATGGCACGTGGCCCTCAACATCGAGACGAGACTTCTCAGCGCGCTGCGGCCGGCTCGGCCAGTGCCACCCGTCTGTGCTCGGAGCCCGAGAGCTGCCGCAGGACCCCCGCCCGGGCTCACCTCCCGCCCCAGGCGCTGCTGCAGCTTGCTCAGCTCGAACTCCTTTTTCAGCAGGGACAGGGCCTTATACAGCCGCTTGGGGATCTGCCGAGACACGAGACGGTCAGAAGTTGGCTCCTCCCCGTGGGAGCCGAGGGGGTGGGGCAATGGCACCTCGAGAGCCGCTGCTGGGGCCACGTGGCCACCCCACCACAGCACAGAGGCCCGGCCCTGCCTGGCAAGGCCAGCTCTGCAAGCTGTGTGGAAAGACGGGGCACGCGCGGGGAGGGGACAGGGTGGGCACTCACGTTGGTCTCCTCCAGGACGTCCTGCAGCTCGTGGGACTCGGCCCCCGTCAGCGCGGCACCCATGTCGCTCAGGTAGATGGGGTTGTCCACCACCCGCTGGCCAGCCTGCATCATCTGCAGCACGGACTCCCTGGGGGACGGAGGGACACTGCCGGGTGGCCAGGGCCTCCCTCCCCGCTGGGCTGTGGCCCCCGACAGGGACTCGGCCCCAGTCTCCTCTTCCTCGGGACCTCTAGGCAAGGCCGTGGGGATGCTCGCCGGGGGCCAGCTCTGCTGCCCGGCCCAGCCAAGTTCAGGACCAACGGGGTCTGCCCGTCCCGGTCTAGAGACTCGCCCCAACCCCAGGGGCCCCCTCGGGCGGCCACGCGGTGCCCTCACCCCTGCCGGGATCGGCTCCCCCTCCACCAGATGACAATGGCCTACCCAGGAAGGGTCCCCAGATCCCCGGCCCCAGCAAGGTCTCCTGCCAGGATGACACTCCGAGAAAGCCCCCAGCTTCCAAAAGAGCCACGGTCAGGCCCCAGCTGGGCCAGCTGTGTACGCGGGAGACCCACCTGTAGAGAGGGTTCAAGGCGATGATGTCCCGGATGGTCTTCACGATCTCGGCGGTCAGGGCCTAGCCAGGGGGAGGCCACGTGGGTCACTGGGGCCCGGCGGGGGGCTGTGGACCAGGGCACCCCTCCCACCTGTGCCCCACCAACTCCCCAGCCAAGGATGGCCCTGGAGACTGAAGAATGGAGCCAAAACCCACCGTCCCTGGGACAAGGGGCCAAAAGAGCAAAACTGACACCATGAGCCTTGTCCTTAGAACAAGCCACCACGGAGGAGGAAAGGTGGCGGCAGTGGAGTCTTTATGCCTTTATTTTAAGCACTGCCCTTACAGCCGACACATCCCCTTCTCAGCCTTGGCCAGAACGGCCCAGGCTGTGAGGTTTCCTTGTCCAGGTGTGCCTGTGTGTCACCAGGGCTCCCAGCCTGCAGGTCACCTCCCGGAACCTGGTGCCATGCTCTCTATAGAGACGGAGGGACCCCTTCTGCCACGGGCACTGTGGGCATGACAAGGTCTCATTCTGTCACCCAGGCTGGGGTGCAGTGGCCTCACCTTAGCTCACTGTAGCCTCCAACTCCTGGGCTCAAGCGATCCTCCTGCCTCAGCCTCCCGAGTAGCTGAGACTACAGGTGCCACCACCATGCCTGGCTAATTTATTTTCCTTTCATTTTCTGTTACTCAGGCTGATCTCAAATTCCTGGCCTCAAGTGATCCTCCTGCCTTGGCTTCTCAAAGTGCGGGGATTACTGGCATGAGCCACCGTGCCTGGTGGCGTTTAAATTTAAACGAGTTAAAGTGAAACAGAATTTTGTGTTCTGTTCCTCATTCGCACCAAGCGTACTTCAAGTGTTCAACAGCCACCAGGGCTAACAGTCCAGAGTCATAGGACATTTCCACTATGGTGCTGACCTCAAAGAACAAAAGCGTCCACCCAGGCCAGTGGCAAGTGCGGCTGGGCCCCTTCTGGCGCCCGTGGCAGACATCACCAATCGATCACAGCACTCCTTCCCACCAAGCTTAGCAGCAGCCCCAGAATCCTATCCAACATGGTGCCATGGCCGACAGTGACCGGTAGAGGGTCAGACCAACACTGCTGGTCCCCCTGGCTTGTGTTCTGCTCGGGGGAGGCTGAGGCCACCAGGCACACACGTAAGGAGCTGCAGACACAGTCCAGGCCTTTCCAGCTCTGCTAATCGTACCTACCCACGGAGGGCAGATCGTCCCCATGGGGAGCCTCCCCACCTTGAAAACGGGCTCCTTGTGCAAGGCAGGCGGGGCAGCCTAGGTCTGGGGACCAGGGTGGCCAAAAGGCTGTCGCTCTTTCCTGTCGTGGCCACGGGTCCTTGCTTTCCCTGCCCTGCCTCCCGCCGTGGTGGGATGGAGCCAGGACAGAAGGCACCTCGGAGGGTTCTGCACAGCGGAGCCGGGGCTGGACCTGGGTTCAAATCCTGCCTCCTTCACCAGCAGCTACAGGCCCCAGCACGTTTCCTTGACCCTCTGATCCCAGTGCCCTCCAAGGACTCCAGGCAGGAAAAGTGTGCTATGCATTCCACGAGACTTTGTTCGAGACACACCAGGCCCTCCCCAGGTGTGTGGCTCAAGGTGGCACCTGACGGCTCGGAGAGGTGCTGGGGCCCACTCAAGGGAGCCCCGCGTGACAAACGCGTGCACTTACTTTCACTTCCTCCGTCACCTGGAAGTCCTCGTGGATGACGTTCTCGACTTCCACCATGAGCACCTCGCTGGGGGAGTCAGAGGCAGGCTCCACCGCTGCCTCCAGCTGGCGCCTGGCGCTCAGGTCCTCCTCCGCCTCCTTCTTGCCGCGCTTCGCCTTCCTCCGGGGCTTCTGTTTACTCTCAACCTCCTCCTCCTCCTCCGGCTCCACTTCCAGCTGTCTGCTGATGTGAATCCTGAAGGCAGGGGTGACGCCGGCGTGAGGCTCCTGCCTTAGCCTCCCAAGAAGCTGGGCCTACAGGCACGTGCCACTGCGCCTGGCCAATTTTTAAATTTTCTGTAGAGACAGGGTCTTGCTATGTTGTCCAGGCTGGTCCTGGGCTCAAGTGATCCTCCCACCCCAGCCTCCCAAAGTGCGGGGATTACAGGTGTGAGCCACTGTGCCCGGCCCCACGCACCTTCTATGTCCCATGACGATCATGCGCAACTTGTCTCCGAGGTCCTGCATCTCGTGGATCTGGGCGAACGTCCCTGTGTGATAGATCTCGTCCAGGCTTTCCACGATGTCAGACTCGTTGCTGAGGGAGAGGATACGAAGGGAGAGTTGGCACACAGGCGCCAGGGCTCGGCGGGACGTCTCAGGCTGAGGGGAAGGAGGACGAGAGAGGCGACACCCCCACCGGCCGCTACTGAAAACCGAGAGCAGCCCCCTCGGCTCCCACGGGAGCTCCGGACTCCAGAGGAGCGTCTGCCACATCGCGCCTGCCATCAGTGGTGACAGCCTCGCTAAGTCAGCCACTAGGGTGGGGCCACATGGGATTCTGCTTCCCTTTTACTCCAATTTGGAGACTCGGGACACACACGCGGAACTGACTGCTGGTGGAGTCAAGGTGGATGTGTCCGGAGCCACTGCACGTGCCCGCCTAGCTCTGCTTTCGAAGCATCCTCGCGGGGACGTTTTATCACTCCGGGTCCTCGACGTTAATGTCCCCCCACCTTGACAATGCAGGTTAGTGCTCAGCCGAGGCTAAGAAGGTGGTCTGCCAGGTTCTCAGCCTTTCCCCTGGAGGTTTTCCTTGCTTTTAGGTCAAACCACACTGTGGAGTGCGAGCTATACTCCTGGGCGACTTCAACAAAGGGAGGAAGGAAAAATGACACTTACTTGTCATCTTTCTTTAGAAAGACGCCGACATAAGGCTGGGCAAGACGAACTTTCCTTCTTAGCAGCTCAGCCAACTTCTTATTTTTAACCTAGCACGACAATGACCCCAGAGTGAAATGCAGGGTAGGGTTTTTTTGGCTGACACTTTTTTCTTTTTTTTTTTTTTTTAGACAGAGTCTTGCTCTGTTGCCCGGGCTAGAGTGCCGAGGCATCACCTTAGCTCACAGCAACCTCAAAGTCCTGGGCTCAAGCGATCCTCCTGCCTCAGCCTCCCAAGTAGCTGGGACTATAGGCGTGCACTACCACACTCAGCTAATTTTTTCTATTTTTAGTAGAGACAGGGTCTCGCTCTTACTCAGTCTGGTCTCGAACTCCTGAGCTCAAGTGATCCTCCCACCTCGGCCTCCCAGAGTGCTGGGATTACAGGCGTGAGCCACCGAGCCCAGCCTTGGCTGACATTTTTGACAGCAGCTCTGATGTTTTTAGCTGCTTCTCTGGGGACATGCTAATCTGATCTGGGACACTAATCACCCTGGTCCAGGAACCCCTAAACCAAAAAAAACCACCCCACCAGACAGGGACGGCAGTGGCAAATGGAGTGAGTCTGATTTACTAGCCACATCCCTAGGCATGCCCATCCCTTCCTAAAGAAAATTCAGAGTAAACAGGAAGAACCAAGGAATTATTTAACACCCACTTTCAAAAGTGATTTCGGTGGCAAAATGTTGGTTTGAAAACTGGAACCATTCTGCTTTTATTAATGTCAGAAAGACAACACCAAACCCCCAAACTCCCAGGATCACAGCCCGTTCTTGACGTCATCTCAATGGCAGGTTCGGGGCAACATCTTCTAGGAAGCTTGGGATACAGCAAGGAGCAGGATCTCCTCGGGCTCACCTGATTTCTTTCAAACCTGTGTTAACTCCCAGGCCAGACCTTGTTTAAACTTAATGGCCCTCAAACTTCGGCAGGCACCACGCTTAGCTGGACCTGTTAAACCTCAATGCTGGGCCCCACCCCTGGAGTCTCCAATTCAGGAGGTGGGGGTGGTGGGGAGGGCAACAATCTGCATTTCGAACAAGCTCCCAGGTGATGCTACTGGTCCAGGACCACGTTTTAAGAGCCAGTGTTTTAACTCACTCCCTACTTGGGGGCTCTTAACTTGTGGTTCAAAAATTCCTGATGCTACAGATGTATTTTTTTCTGGGAAGAAAGTAACATCCAAGAGAAGGGCATCATACCCACCAAAACTTAAGAGCCACAGTTCTATGCTCAGAGGTCACTGTCAGTGTCAATTACAAAGTCAAGAGTAAACGGAGCGTTGCTAACAGTTTCAGAAACATTTATGGGTCTGAAAGAAGTGGCCCTCAATTTCTCCACCACCAACAGCAGACTGCTGTGTCCTTAGAACCTGCCATGGCAGGAACCCTTTTGGCTATTTACAAAGGATCACCAACGGAAATACAGTGAATACCAAATGCCAGTCTCCCAAATGCTATCCACAGCGACTCACTGAACCCTCCCGGCTAGCTGCAGGTGGACAGACAAGCGGTCTCTTGGAAGATTCCTCTCTCTGCTCCGGTGCTGGCAGCAAAGGGTATCTGTCACTTTGCAGGGCTAAGGGGACTAGATCTGGTGAAGACTTCTGGCTCTAGAGGCCTGGGAGGAGAAAGAGGATGCCAGGGGCAGGGTCAAGGATGAGGAAAGAAGCTTCCAGGGCAGGGCTCCGAAATGTGAGAAGTGACCACGTAGGAAACAGCAGCAGCAGATGTTACTGAGGTACACTAACCCCCGGGCACGGGGGTTCCTAAACCCTTTACGCGTGCGACCTTATTTCACTCTCAGAACAGCTCTAAGAAATAAGACATTATTATTATGTCCGTTTCACAGGTAAGAAAATGGAGGCCCAGAAGAATAACTTGCTGAGGGTTATGGACCTAGGGGTGGCGGAGCCAGGACAGGACACCACAGGGCCTGACTCTGGGGCCTGCGCTAGTAACCACTACTCAACGGCAAGAAAAGGCTTTATGGAAGGGTGGCTCAGACACACGTAATCAGCGCTGTAGGAGAAACTCCCTCTGTCCCCTCCCCACTGGCTGGCTGCTGCCGTTCTATACTGTCCTTGCCCCTTCCAAGGGATACTCAAGATTTATTCAGCAGCGTCTACAGTGTGAGGGGAGAGGCTGAATGCAGAGGCAGACTCTCCCTATGACCTTGCTTAGACAGTTCAGAGATAACCTTTCTTTTCCAAGGACTCCACTTTCCACATCAGTATTTTCCTTTTCTTTTCTTTTTTTTTTTTTTTTAACCTTATAGTCCTTGATTCTGAACCACATGTTTTTTCTTTTTAAACAGAGAGGAAGGGGTTGGGGAGAAGGCATTTGGGTTCTTCCTATTCAAAAGGCTCAACTTCCTTGCACTCGCTGCTTTCTCGCTGTTACATCACCCTGCTCCAACCCCACCCACTAAGGCTCTCAGTCTAAAAGGTCATTTCTTCCACCAGAACGTAAGCTCCTTAGGCCAGGGACTGTCTGACTTGTTCAGGACAATATTCTCAGTACCTACTCCATGGTCAAAAACACTCTGACCATGGTGTTTTTCTTTTTTTTTTTTTTAAGTGACAGGGTCTTGCCATGTTGTCCAGCCTGGAATTGAACTCTTGGCTCCGGCACTCAGCTTCAAAGGCAAACATTTTTGTCTGTTTTGTTCATTGCCATATCCCCAGCATCCAGAACAGTTATCTGGCACATAGTAAGCACTCAAGAATCCTGATCCCAGCGGGGCTCAGAACGCCTGGGGTAGGGGCTGTTACAAAACATTTACCAAGTAAGCATAAAGTAACAACACTGCCGCAACATTGCTCTGGTCCCTCCCGGGTCCGAATTTCTATGACCGGGGCCGGGACTCAAGTGGACAGTCCCAAGCTCATCGGGTTTAACTCCTCTCATCTAACAGACCCTAAGAGATCTGAAAAGGGGAGGAATTTGGCTCAAGGTCTCCAAGCTAGCGGTGAGCAAAGACGCGAGAAACTGAGAAATTTCGAGTCTAGGAAAAGTTGCGAGGCATGAGGGCGCTAAGAGATCCCACGGTCCAACCCACCGCTTGCAGAGGTGGGAAAACTGAGGGTGAGGCGGGGACTCTCATTACCTCGATAATCTTGATAAAACGCGGGAACACCGGGTTGCGCGTGATGGCGATGAGAGGCAGGTGCGGGAACACGTCGGGGATCGTCATGGGCGTGAGCGCCGTTATGACTGGGCCTTCCCCGCCGCCCGCACTGCCCCCAGCGCCCCCGGCCCCTTCCTCCGAGCCGCCCTCGGAGGCGTCCTCGCCCCCCGAAAATGCACCGCCGCCGCGGCTGTTCGCCTCCCAAAACCCCCGCCACTGGCCCGCGGTCGTCGGTCCTCGGCCCCACAGCGCCCAAGGAGAGGAGGCGTCGCAGGCCCGCCGGGCTCTGGGCAACCACGCTCCGGCTGCAGCCGGGACCCGCCCCCCGGCGGCGGCCAGCATGGGCCGCCGCAGCGCCCAAGACCGCGCCGCGCCCCACAGCCGCACGTAGCCTGTGCCCGCCGCCATAGCCCGGCCATACTAGCGGCGCGCACAACTTGCGTCATTTCCGTCTGCCGGGCTGGAGCGCGCGTGACGTCTGGCACGTGCTGCTTCGGGGGGGGGGCCTACGCGGAGCAGAGGGGACGGCGTTCGAGCTCTTTTACCACCTACGCCAATTCCGGCCTCCCAATTAGCCCTCTCAAGTCCCCTTCCGGTCACGTGGGAGGTTCGGCGTACGCGCCAGCGCCCCTAGAAAAAATTAGTGTTGCTACAAGCGCAGTCTTTGGGGACTTGTGGGCAGGCTTGTGCGTTCACTTGCCCGCGCGGGTGACACACGCATACTTAGGCTCTGAGGCTCGTAGTGGTTGGTGGGTTTGGGCTTCCCGGGAGACACTGTGCGCATGCTCAAACTTTACCCGGCTCATGGGTGGCTGTGTGCGCATGCTCAAGCGCTGGGTGCCTGTTGGGGCGCGTGAATATGGGCTTTGCTGGTACTCGTCTGCGCATGCTCAGAGTCCATGCCCCGTGAGCGGGGCTACCGTGTGCGCATGCCCAGCCTTGGTGGCGCGTTTGTGCGCATGCGCGGGCTGTGCATAGAGCCCCGCAGCGGTTGCTGGGCAGTGGTGGTTGCAGGCGTTTAAGCGAGATGCTGGTGTTGGTGCTGGTGGCGGCGGCGACTATGCGGCTCTGTCCGCTGGTCAGAGCTCAGCCGCTGTGCCGGTGGGGCTGCCCTCCGGGGCCGGGGTGCTGCCAGGGGTCCAGTGGGGGCTGCTTCCCCAACCTGATGAGTCTTAGCACTTGACTCCTAGGAATCCACCTTGAGGCCGCCTTACTCCCGCCCCACCCCAACCTCTCAGCCCACCACCAAGTCCTCTCATTGCGACTTCAGAACCTTGGCCCGACTCCTAACCTTTCAGGCCACCTCCTCCGCCCCCGCCCTGGGCTTTGCTGTCCCGCCCATTCTCCACCCGGCAGCCAGAGGAATTATTTGTAAATGAATCTGATCTTCCCGTTGCCCTCCCCTGGTTGTCGCTGACACGCAGGATAAAACCCAAGCTCCTTGCACAGCCTGCAGTCCCTCTGAGGATCATGGTTTCTACAGATCAGGGCTGCTGACATTTGGGGCCGGGTAATTTTCTGTGCTGGAGGCCGTCCTGTGCATTGTGCCACGTTGAGCACCGTCCCTGGCCTGCACTCACTAGATACCAATAGTGCCTGTCTCCCTAGGCTTGACAAATCACTTGAAAATGTTGCTAGGCGTTGCCAGGTATTCCCCGAGGATCTGAGAACCGCGCCCCTGACTCTCAGGTCGCTCCAGCCAGGCCATCCGGGGTCCAGACTTGGCGCTTGCTATTCCCTCTGCCTGACACTCCACGACTGGTTTCCTCATTATTCATTCCCCTATTTAAAGCTCCCTCCTCATCTATTGCCTTTCCATTCCCCTTTCCCCGTTGGTATTTTTTCCTACCACTATCTGCTTTCATTTATTTTTTGACAAATTGTTTCTTGTCTGTGCTAGGGTGTTAGTTCCGTGAGGACGTAGACTATTTATCTTATTCACTCCTTATCCAGTACATTTTAAAATTTCAGTAAATGTTAGGTTAGTGCAGCGGTCCCCAACCTTTCTGGCATCAGGGACCAGTTTCATGGATGACAGTTCTTCCACGGACTTGGGGGGCGGGGGAACGGTGAGCGATGTAAATACTGATGAAGCTTTGTGGCCCAGGGATTGGCGACCGCAGGGTTAGTGGATACCGCGTGCAAAGTGCCACAGGGGCTAGACAGTTGCTGAAGCTCAGATCCTGACCTCAGGGATCTCTTCCTGCCTGGAGCGAACTGTCATATTCAGCAGGGACCTGTTTGCCAGAGGGATAGTAAACATGTTCTTACAGTGCGTGACCTCATTTGATCTTTACAGCAAGGTTCCTGGGGGCGTGATTCCTTAACCTTATCTTATAGAAGTGAAAACAGACCCAGAGAAATTAAAGACATGCTTGCCTAAGACAAGTAGCTAGTAAGTGGGTAGGAGTAAGGTTTTCCAGTAAGATTTACTAGTAGGAGTTGTCTCAAGGTCTGAAAAGGTGGGTTACATCCAAGACTCCCTTTTCCCCACACCGGTTCTCGAAGAGTAATCCCTGGACGAACAGCAACAATCAGGCTTACCTGGGACTTTGTTAGAATTGGTTAGAAATGCAGTTCCCTGGACCTACTGAATCAGACTCGGAGGTCAGGTCCAGCGAACCATGGTTTATCAAGCCTTCTAGGTGATTCCAATGCACTCAAGATTAAGAACCTCCACTGTAAACAATGTAATCGTTCCAGTTACCGCAAATCCCCTAAAAATAACCCCGAATACCTAGGAGCAGGAGTTCCTAAGCTGCCTCAGCTGAGGTCTGTGAATGAGCCTTTAGGAACTCTCTGGAATGATATTTATATTTTTGCATGTACATATGTCTGTTTCTGGAAGAGGAGAGCCCACAGTTTCATTCAGTTTTCTAGGGGCTCCCCTACCCCTAAAAGTGTGAAGAACAGGTACTTTAGTGTTAACCCCGAGGCAACCAGATAGGAGAAGTCATGCTTAATATTCAATAAAAATTGACAGATGGTCTCTCTTGTTGCTTACCTTTAGTGCTCGCACAGTGAGGACAGGAAAAGTGTTAAATACCGTGCAGAAAGTTGATGGGGTATGTGGTTTCATACTTAACGTTCCTTACATTCGACTGTCGCTTCTATCTAATCACTGGATCAGAACTAACATTTCCTAGTGTTCTTGGGTGCCAGTGTTGCCAGGCATTTAGGAACATTACCCCCAGCCTGAGCAAGAGCGAGACCCTGTCTCTACAGAAAACAGAAAAATTAGCTGGGTGTGGTGGCACGCGCCTGTAGTCCCAGCTACTCGGGAGGCTAAGGCAGGAGGATCACTTGAGCCCAGGAGTTGGAGGCTGCAGTGAGCTATGACGATACCACTGCACTCCAGCCTGGGCGACAGAGGGAGACCCTATCTCAGTAAAAAACAAAACAAAACAAAAAAAAACATTACTTTATCCAATCCTTAAACCCACTGCCCTTTGAAGTAGGGATTAATCTTTCCCATTTCACTAAAGTTAAGAGAGATCGAGTTATCTGAACAAAGCCAAGAGGTACAAGTGGGTTTAGAACTCAGATTATCTGAAGTTTTACCCAATGATCTGTCTATTCCTCTCTCTGGTTCTCAAATACAGAGTAACAGAGGACAAAGCCTGTGGCTTTGTTTACCTAACATCGTGCGGCAGGAAACGTCATTTTACCCAATATGTACTTAAAATGCACGAAGAACAAAATATTCCAGAAAACACGAACCCAACCCTAACCCTAACACCCTGCACCTAACCCCCCAACTCTAACTCTAAGCCCCAACCCTAAACCCAAACCCTAACTCTAACCTTAACACCCTACCCCTAAGCTTAACCACTCCCCCCAAAAAAAGAAATCTGTCAGTTCAAATGTGCTCCCTGTTGACAAAGCTGCATACTTTCAGAAGTTGTATCAGCCACTAAATCTTCAAGTGACCGGTTTCTCACATGTTAGCATTAAGTTTTCATTCACTGGCCTCTCTTTCCCATAGCTGATCATCTGAAAATAGGCCGTATAACATGTCTAGGAATGAGATAGGATATGAGTAATTTCCCCGGTGAATTTTTAAAAATGCTTTTGGACATAATTGTAGATTCACAGTAAGTTGCAAGAATAATAAAGGGAGGTGCTAGGGACCCTTTTCCCATTCTCCCAGTGGCCGCATCTGTCACGACTATTGTACCGTACCAAAATGTACCGTACCAAAACAGGAAAATATCATTGATACAATCCACATGCCTAATCCAGATTTTGCCTTTTACATTTGTAATGTCGCATATTAGGAAGTTGTTTTTGTCCGCTGTTTACTGTTATTGATATTCTTAAGATTTTGTGATTCTCTCTCTAGGACGTCCTGTATTTCCCATCAACGACAACACGCGTGATTAAACATCCTTGCCAGAAAAATGTAGCTGTATATCTTGGGTGAGCCGCCGCTTTATGTACCGTGACCTTCCTTTTTTTTTTTTTTTTTTTTTTTTTTTGAGACAGAGTCTCACTTTGTTGCCCGGGCTAGAGTGAGTGCCATGGCGTCAGCCTAGCTCACAGCAACCTCAAACTCCTGGGCTCAAGCATCCTCCTGCCTCAGCCTCCCGAGTAGCTGGGACTACAGGCATGCGCCACCATGCCCGGCTAATTTTTTCTATATATATTTTTAGTTGTCCAGATCATTTCTATTTTTTAGTAGAGACGGGGTCTTGCTCTTGCTCAGGCTGATCTCGAACTCCTGACCTTGAGTGATCCGCCCGCCTCGGCCTCCCAGAGTGCTAGGATTACAGGCGTAAGCCACCGCGCCCGGCCTCCGTGACCTTCCTTTTTATTAAAACTTTAGCTTTGCCTTCATTCATTCATTCAGCAAGCACTAGAGAAGATGGCTCTGCCCTCTGTTGCTAGTTGCTAGCCTGCAGGGAGTCCATAGCCAGGGGCTGGGTTCAGAGGAAGAGAGACAAAGAGATTGGCAGGTAAGTAAAACGACCACGGTATGGTGTGGTACCACCACTCACAGATGCTTGATATAAGTGCTCTTGGGGCAGCACTGGAGGAGAAGATGCTTAGGAAGCTCCCACTGGGGAGTTGATGCCAAAACTGGGTTTTGAAGGATGAATAGGAGCCTGCTGAGTTTTGAAGGATGAATAGGAGTCTGCTGGGTTTTGAAGGATGAATAGGAGTCCGCTGGGTTTTGAAGGTTGAATAGGAGTTTAATGGGGTTGGCGGGGGGCAGCCAAAAGTATATGGGCTTAGAGCAGAGCATTCAAAGGAATGGCAATGCCATACTCAGCATGCACCTGAGGTGGTCGGGGTACCAGCCTAGAAAACCAGATATATACACCATGCCAAGATGTTTACCCTCATCCTGAAGGCAGTGGAGGATTTGGGGCTGCATGATTCATGTTCGTATTTAAGACACCAATCTAGCAGCATTGCCGAGGGGCCCAGACTAGGGAAGAGACGGAGGCGGGGGACTAATAGAATTTACAACAGCCCAGGCCAACAAAACAAAGTAAATGTGATACAGCCTGAACAGAAGGGAGGATGACACAGAGGAGGAGGAGGCGGAGGCGGATTCAGCAGGACGTGTGGACACGACACACAGGGTGTGGAGAATGAAAGCGAGCAGGCAGTTCAAGGTGGCCCTCCAGTTCCTGGGTTGACCATGTGGGAGGATTTGGTGGAAAGGATGGAGGATCGTGGCTCGTGATCTGGTGTTTGGGGGACATGGCTGTGGTCGTGTTCACAGTCACCCAGGGATCACGTGTTCAGCGACAAGAGGCTCTGGGGAATATTGATTCTACACATCGGGTAGAAGAAGAGAGAGAGAAGTAGGAAACCAGGAGTTGGAGGCTGCAGTGAGCTATGATGATGCCACTGCATTCCAGCCTGGGCAGCAGAGTGAGACCTTGTCTCTTAAAAAACAAAACAAAACAAAAAAATTGCTTACTTTAGTGGGGATTAAAGCCATATAAATGGGGGGGGCAGGGGCAACATACATAACCTAAACATCTGTACCCCCATAATATGCTGAAATAAAAAAAAAGCCATATAAATTATGCAACTGAAGGTCATCCTGGCACTTAATGTACTTTTTATATAATTTTATACTTGATGTGGTCACACTTTTAAACATTCCTTCAAGAAGTCAAATACCAGGCTGGGTGCAGTGGCTCATACCGGTAATCCTAGCATGCTGGGAGGCTGAGGCAGGAGGATCGCTTGAGGCCAGGACTATAAGATTAGCCTGTGCAAGAGCAAGAACCCGTCTCTATTAAAAAATAGAAAAATTAGCCAGGTGTGATGGCGCATGCATCTGCAGTCCCACCTCCTCAGGAGGCTGAGGCAGGAGGATCACTCGAGCCCAGAAGTTTGAGGCTGCAGTGAACTATGACGATGCCACTGCACTCCAGTCCGGGCAACAGA